TCCAGGTTTCTTCGCCCTAAATTCAGTTGTTTCCTCCCTGTGTCTCCTAGTGCTGCTCTTGGTGGGAACTGTTGTTCTCCTCTAAATAACTCAGAGTCTGAGCTGCTCTGGTTGGAGAGCTGGGAGATAAATAACTGTTGTTGGGATGTGGAGCTATATAGATAAAATTGAATTGTATTCTGTCTGTGTGGCAGACCCCAGAGGAGAAGGACGAGGAGAAGGAGCAGGACAAGGCGAGCCGCACGGCCAGAGTCCAGCCGACCCCCCAGACCCGGGACCCCAACGACAGCCCCAACAACCCCGACAAGAAGCCCAAACAGTACAGCCCTTATTCCCCCCCCTCCTCCTCCGCCTGTCTGCTCTCTGACCTCTGACCTGACTGGCACATTCTGTAAAAGATAGACAAAAAAAGTCAGATTTGTGTGTGCTTCTCGTTTTCAGGTTCCAGGCTCCGGTTCGGGACGAGGAGTCGGAGTCCCAGAGGAAAGCTCGCTCGCGGCTGATGCGTCAGACCCGGCGCTCCACTCAGGTGAGGCTCCACAGAGCCAGGATCAGAGATTTGAATCTGGGGAGCAGAGGAATAGCTCCAGTTAGTTCTGAAAGTCAGCCAAAGGTCTGAGGGGAACCTGCTGTCATGGGACCAGACTGTACAGACAGAAAATGAGACAGAAACCTTCTGCCCTGCAGCCTTATTGCACAATTTAATTCTACTACTTCCTGTATTTCCTATTTGACCTCAGAGGCCGGGTGTTAGAGCCAAGTAGATGGAATCATAGCTGTGATAGCCAGATGGAGCTTATGTCTATTTATTTATTTTTAACAATTTTTAAATTATTTTTTCAGAAATAATCCAATGTGGTACGAATGTACACATGTATTTTTACATTTTTAAACATAAAAAAAACAAAACACAAACACAGGGTGATTTCGAGAGTGTGAGAAAAAACAAAACAAAAAAACTTTATTGCATTATTAGTGGAATGACAGGTCTCCAACGTTTATTGAATTTGGGCGTTTTTAGTCTCAGAGAATATGTTATATTTTCCATTTGGTATATATCCCAGACCTTCTGGATCCTTATATTATAGCAAAGAGGCTCAGGTTTGAGCCATCTGATTGTTATGCATTTTATAGTCGCTGTTAATAATATATTCAAAATGTATTTTCCATCTCATGTAGTGATAATTTTAGGTGTTATTCCCAATAAGGCAATGTCTATATTGGATGGGATTTCCTGCTTGAATATTACTTTTAGGGCATCAAAAATGTCTCTCCAAAACTGATTTAATTTGGGGCATTGCCAATATATGTGTGTGTGATTAGCATTATCAGTTCGGAGCTTATGTCTATTTAAAGAAAACACAAAAGTCACAGTTACCGTTTTGTTTCACACTTTACAAGAGGAATAAAAAGTGATAAACTTTAGGGGCCGACAGATTAAACCCAGTAAGGCAGAGCATCTGTACAGGGCCTGCTCCCAAAGGGGGAGGCCATTTTGAATCCCGGGCAGCCAATCAGCAGCAGTCCTCTCTTGATAGCTTGATATGATTTAAAAACTAGCTTTTCTATATCCCTATATCGTATGACTCCAGTTAAAAATGTGACCATATTTGTGTTAAGAGAAACTGAAACTGACTGAACATCTCGTTGTTCAGGGCGTGACTCTGACCGACCTGAAGGAGGCCGAGAAGAGCGTGGTGAGCGTGGACCCCCCCCCTCGCAACGTCCAGCCTGTGAGCCCCATAGTCACCGTCACGCCCGCAGAAAGGGGTGAGTAAAGGGGGGGGGGGGTTTGGGCTGGTCGAGCCCTCATTCCTCTAGTTTCCCTCTGAGCATAAGGCCGTCAGAGGTTTTTCTTTGGACATTTTCGTCTCTTTTTCTCAGTCTTTAGTTTTTTTATTTACTCCTTAGTTGAGCGTTTTCAGAGGAATTGGGTTTTTTTCTTTGTTAGGCCACTTAAATCTGAGCTCCGATTCATTCAGGCAGAAAAAGGAAAAAAGCCCCTAACTCAAGGGATGAGCCAGCGTTGTGTCCAGCTCAGCAGAGCAGCAGCTTAAAGTGGATTATAAGGATAAAGATTAGTTCAAAAAGTCTTCAGCCACCTTTAATTTCTTCATATTTTTCCTCAAAGCAGCCTGACGTCCTTTAAATTGTTTTTAGTGACGCTGATCCAGGATTTCTGAGCTCTGTCAGACTTTTTGTTCGGACATTTTCTACTTTTTTACTCATTTTTAGTCCAGTTTCAACCTTTGTTGAGGCAGAAAAAGGCCCCTAACTCAAGGGATGAGCCCCTCTGTGTCCTACAGCAGAGTCTCCAGCTGAAGCTGTCCGGGGTGTGGCGTCTTTAGGGGAAGTGAAGGCCGGGGGGGTTGGGGGGGTCAGGGCGTGTGAAGTGTGAGGGCCTTGGAACGTGACTCATCTGTGGCCCTCCACCCTTTGTGGTGTTCTGAGGGGAACTGAGCTATTTGGCCGCGTGGTCAACGATGAGAACCAGCATCTCCCTTCATCTGGCTGTTTTTAAATGTTTTCTGTGGCTTTTGTTTATTTTTTTAAATGTTTTTTGTGGCTTTTTGTCTTTTAAAAAATGTCTTTTGCTTATATTTCTGTGACTTTTTTGGCTATATTTAAATGTTTTTTGTTTTTGTTCTTATGTTTTTTGTGTCTTTTGCTTATTTTTCTGTGACTTATTTTTTATTTGTAAATGTTTTTTGTGGCTTTTCTGCCTTTGTTTATGGCTTTTTGTCTTATTTTGGCGGCTTGTAGTCATGTCTTTGCTTCTTAAGAAGGACAATGACCCCACCCTTTTTAAAAAAATGTTATTCGTCGTTTTTATTTATTTTGTTATGTATTTTGTGGCTTTTGCATATTTTTCTGCGACTTTTTTGTCTGTTTTTAAATGTTTTTTGTGGCTTTTTGTCTTATTTTGGTGGGTTTCAGTCGTGTCTTTGCCTCTTAAGAAGCACAACGACTCCGCCCTCTTTTTTAAATATTATTTTACTCATCAGAACAGATGATCAGAGATGATATCTGTGTTCTCTGGTGTTCTGATGGTGGTCTGTAACCTCTGGTTCTGCTGTTCCCCAGACCCAGACCCGGGGAAGCAGGCGGAGGCGGACGGGGAAAAGCGTCTGGGGGCGCGGGAGCGGCGGCGGGGGCGGCGGGAGCGCCGCTCCACGGGGATCGTGATGTCAGAGGTGAGACGGGCCCTGAACGCTAGGGTTGTCAAAAGTATGGATACTAAAATGTTGTATCCGGATACGATTCTCATTTTCAAAAGTATCAATACCACCGCGCCTTCTCTCTGATTTATTTATGTATTTCTTTACGTTGTTTATGATCATAAACAAGACGTTAGCCTTGAACTGCTAGCTGCGGCTAATGGCTAATAATAACACGCCAACATTAATCAAGTACATATATCCAACTCCGCCCACATCCAATCGGCCATTTTAATTAGGTCACCAATAGGAAGGTCCCAGGCAAGAAAATCCTAATTGCTTCATGGCAATATAGACATTGATTTAAAAATAGTGAAATGAATCATGCAAACACTGAATTAAACTCTATCCATAATATTTTGTTAAAATAGTGGATGTTAAATAGGTTTGTACAATAAGTCCAAACAAGTTTAACCAGAAAATATTTATTTCTCACAATTATGAAGGGTTAGGGTTAGGGTTAGGGTCATTAATGTGGGCCACCATAACATCAGTAACAGGTCAGTTTGAAACCAAAGACACTAACCAGTCAAAATTTTGTTCAATTTTGGGTTCTTTGTTTTTATCCTAGTATCTAAAATGGTATCAAGTATGGAGTATTTTCCTGAGTATCGGTATCCAGTTGAACATTTTAGTATGGTGACGACCCCGTCCCCGTGCTTTTCAGAACGAGGAGGACGAGGCTCCCGCCGGAGAGCCCAACAGCACCGGACCCCCCC